ACCCCCATGGCTGAAAGGGCAAGCACGTTCGGTGTCGGTCCCACGACCCACACATTGCGAGTCAAGTGCCATAACGATCAGGCCATGCCAAATCTTATACAAATAAAAATTTAATGGCAAAATTCATGTACGTTAAGGATTATTTGAATGAGAATGATATATCTCAAAGTAACCAATTCTGGAAAGTTCCATACGGACAGCACAAGTAGGATTAACAAGGTGTAACATGCTGACAGACAGGTGTGGCGATTTTATGGCTCATAACATATTCATTGTTAAACAACGTGAGGAAAGCACTTCTGTTTATATCAGCTACGTGAAAATGAGTCCTAACGTAGTAGTATACCACAAATGAACTTGAAAGTACGCAAAAGATATCTCTAAGTCGTCTTTCACAGTGAATTTGACATATGGACTTTATTTTGTGGATAGAAAAAAAACACGTCTGTAAATTGTTTTTCACAGTGAATTTGATACGTGGAGTGTGTTTTGTGGCTACAAAAATGTCTGTAAATAGTTTTTCACAGTGAATTTGATACGTGGACTGTGTTTTGTGGTTCAAAAAAATGTTGTAAATAGTTTTTCACAGTGAATTTGATACGTGGACTGTGTTTTGTGGTTACAAAAAATGTCTGTAAATAGTTTTTCACAGTGAATTTGATACGCGGACAGTTTTGTGGTTACAAAAAATGTCTGAAATAGTTTTTCACAGTGAATTTGATACGTGGACTGTGTTTTGTGGTCTTCTCGTATACCTGAGAGTTTTTTCATTGAGACGACGTTTTGAGACCTATGTTTAGTCATATTGGAAACAGTCTCAATATCTATATCTCCACCAGGTAGTCATAACAAAATATTTACTTAGCCCTATATTTACTGCGAATAACAATGTTTCTAAATGTGAGTGCCGCGCTAAAACAATCTGAAGACTTAATTACGTTGCTTTATTTGTTAGCAGTTTCTTTATGCCAAAGTTTCCACAGAAAAGCGTTAAATATTACCGGAGTCCAATGAGTTAATATTTCTAAAAGTTGCAATTAATGGTAAAGATGAAAAATAAAACCAAACAGATGTACTTGAACTTGATAATTGGGCTGATAATTAATTCAATAAGATGCTGCTGTAAATAGTTAGTATTGCAAGTTAGAAATCGGTAGACATTTTTAACTGACATGCTATCGAATGAACACTAACTGTAAAATATTATTAAATCTTAAATCATTGTTGCCCGAATTGCGCTGCGACCGTATTACCTTATCACCATCACATTCAGCTTTCGTTTTACATTTCATTGCAAAGCTACACAAAGAACTATCTGCTCATAGCTATCCTTAATTTTGAACTGAGACTAATGAAAAACCAGCTGGTCAACAGCACCCGCCACCAAATATTGACTGACTGAATAATGGAATTTGTTAATATTTTACATAGAAGACTAGTTTCTGGTTTGGCCAACATCAGGCGACAGTTGAGGTTGATGAAAAGCATTTTGCCACCAACCCACATACGGAAGAATCTGCGCAAACGCACACTGTTGCTTATCTTCTGAAAACTCTATTGCTACCAGATTCCGGAGTCTGGTTTTCTAGACAAAAATGTATCATCTTACAAATGTTGCTGCTGTGTCCAAACAAAAAGCTGGTTGCGATGACGACGAAGCTTTACCTTCTTAAGTTGAAAAATCAAAAGTTTTATTATAAATAAAGCCATTAATTCTTCATATTCGCTTCGAAATATTTAGACTTTTCCAAGTGAGACGAAAAAATGTTTTAAAACAATATATTATAATGTTCGGTTGTCTAGGATTTTCGCGCAAAGCTACATTAAGACAGTCTCTCATTTTGAATTAATTAGACGGCTGGATTAGAGGGCTACTATAATCGAATAGTGAGATTTGACCGTCACAATTTTACAGCAACAGGGCGCGAACCATGGACCCTCAAATTCACAATCCGGCACATTAACCACTAGGCCACGCCTAGCTCACATTATAATGTAAAACTATGTATGTGGGATGTGTGTGTATGTTCCTTCTATTTTGCACATTATGACAGATGGATCACACCTGGAGACCAAGTGAGAAATCTATCCTAAACCCTAGCAGCGCCATCTGTTATCGACAATAAGAAACTTCTACAAGAAAAGTAGTGATATCAAATAAATAACACATGTACACAGTTTTTACACGTCAAAGTACCACAAAAACATGTATACACACTTTTTACATTTTGATGTGCGATTTAGTGTTTCAGTATGCCAAACTCTTACTATTACGAATGTTGTCAGTTATACTGGTTTTGCTATCGGATAGACAATCGTTCAAGGATTTATAATTCTAAGTGTCGGTCCGTTTCGGCAAAACTAACAATAATGCCACAAGTATACAAACTTAAACCAAACGACAATTTATTATTGGGAACAGAAAAAAAGGCTTATTTACACCAAAAGGCCAACAATAATGAACAAAACGTAACTTCATTTCAGTAACATTTGTATACAAAAAAAACAATCGCCGTGCCCACATCCCTAGCGGAAGAAAAATAAAACATTGCTACGAATGCACGATGTCCAGATTGCTGAAACTTTGCCGAGTTAATCTTCACAGAGATATATCTACATATTAATAGCAAGCATTTATTGGGTGTTTCGGAATCACTTGTTTACTTATGTATATCATATTGCTGTTGTAATTACAATTTTGGACCTCTAGATTACTGATGATGGAATTTCGAAGATTATGAAACGTTTAATAAATGCTTGTTATTACTACGTTCGTGTTTTGTTATATCTACATATGTATATAATGTTTTGGCAATTCGGCTTCCAAACGATTATACATTATAATCATTAATTTCTCGTCAATTATTTTATCAGATAATCTCCATAAAGGATTACATGATGAATGAAACGCCACGTAGACATCCACCATGCCTTGGTTTTCGACGGAGCGAATTTGTTCTCTTCATAGACCAATAATAACTAGAAACTATATAAGATTTATTATTTCAAAATATGCAATTAGCTAGCAAAATACAAATAGTTAAGTATTTTTCCAGCAATCAATATAAAAGATGATAACACTAATATATACAAACACACACTAAAGAATAGAAAATTTAACCATAACTGCAAAATTGTCTCAGACATGGAGCAAATGTTGAGCAACAAGTACCTTTTCTCACTATTATTATTATTATGATTAAAGGCAGTGTTTTATTACTATCATCTGAAATATATTAAGTACATTTCTTGTTTTACATTACACAAATTATGCTTGTTGGCTTAAACTCTTGTAATAAGAGTAATGTCGTCAAAGAAAATCTTTTGTCATCTTTAAAAAATAAGTATTTTAATGTTGATTTGTTATATTTAATAATATAACTTACAAAATATTTATTTGTTACACAATTGGTTAATAAGACCAAGTTTCCAAATACAGAAAACAATGTGACTCAGTATCACAAGTCAGTAACAGAATACCAATTATAAATTTAAAATAATAATAGTCAAAGCAGCAAGTACCTCTCTTTTTATTCAGAAAGTAGAAGATCCAACTGTTCTTAGGTACTCTCAGCTGAAAGGAATAGTCCAACGCTTATGCCAGAATACAAGCTTAACGATATTTGGAATAATTTTTGCTTATTTTAAAGCTTCACTAACTGCAAAATAATCTCTATAGTTGTTGTTAACTTTGCTTTGGAAAAAGGGGAGGAGTTGACCCCTGTTTGTTCATAAATATTTTATGTACATTAAAATATAAACATCAAGCTATTATCTTTCACTTCAAACGTTAAGACTTGAAAAACATGAATGCCTAAGATAAGAAATATAATAACATCAAAGCTTGGCCAAGTCTTAAAAATCCCAAATTTCTATTTATAAACAAATTTTCTCTATTACATTTTCCTCAATCTTAAATATTGCCTAGTTAGTCTCTTTATAGTCAACAAGTGATTAAAATCACTGACTTTGTTACTTAAGTGTTTTAAAAATGGCCAAAAAATAACAATAATGATTTTAAAGCACAACTTTCCTCCACAGGAAAACTTCAACAGAATAATTTTCTCCCAACAAACTAACAGTTAAAACTCAGCATGAGTTACAAATCACACCCCTTCCTCCTGAAGGAATTTTATCATAAAAAGAAATCTCACTGTATCTGTATATACAAACATTAGTTTTTAAATGCATTTAACACTGCAAATCTGGATTTCATCATAAAAAATAATTCAAAAGAGTTAATAAAAAAACTGGGTTTAAAGGCACACACTTCTGCTTTAAAATAGTAGATCCGCTGCATACAACACCATCTATGATTGACAAATGCAAATAAAAGACGTATTATATTTAGAATTAAAAGCTAATTATTGGAAAACAATAGTGCTCACACCTAACAAGTTACAAAAACAACATACTAAGCTAAACGTTTTTTAAACATCTAAAACACAACAAAGCATAAGCAAACTTATATTACCAGTAGAGGTATTAACTTTTAACTAAAAACCCTAAGTACAATCTCCTTTATACTAATCATGATGTTAGAAAAGCATTTTGGTTCAAGAAGTCTCGACAGGAACAAATAAAAACCCTATAACCCGAGCACTTCCAAAAGGTGGACCTTTCTTCTTCAGGGGCAAACTGAAGAAGAAAGGTCCACCTTTCGAAAGTGCTCGGGTTATAGGGTTTTTATTTGTTCCTGTCGAGACTTCTTGAACCAAAATGCTTTTCTAAC